ATTTTTCTACTAGTATGTCTACCACCATATGGTTAACACAATACAGTAACACCCATTTTCTATTAGTATATCTACCACCATATGGTTAACACAATACAGTAACACCATTTTTCTACTACTATATTGTCTATCACCATATGGTTAATGGATATAGTTATTGAAGTTTACACTCACCTGATAAACCTTCTAACTCAGAGTTAATTTCTTGAAACTCCTCTTTTGGTTCACTTTTCAAACTCATAACATCATGTTGTGAACAATCAACAGTTTCATCATCACTCTCATTAAACTTGGAAATAATGTCATCATTTGTTGTATCACATCTTTGTTCAGTTTTTACTTTGATAAATGTGTTCTAAAACAAACAAAAATTATCAATAACAACTAATGTTGTCAATACAGAACACAAATACTACACGTAAAACTCGATAAATTATAACTGGTATTTTTACTCTGGAATCATATCTGGTAAGTTTCCTTACTAATCTAAACAATATCTTCTCTATAAAACTGATTTACATAAGAAACACAAGTAATGTTGGTAGCTGGTGTGTTTTCAATTGTATTTAAGTCAAGAAATTTCTTCTAAAAATTTCTCCATAAACATATGTAGTCAAAATGTTGACTACTCTGTAGTCCAAGTGATCTTCGACTGAAAGTTAAAAATACTTTTCTTCATCTGAAAATTGTCAAATTTCACTTGTGTAACCTCTGAAACCTCCTAAATAAATATCAAGCACTTTTTTTCAGTAAAACTTTATATTTTGTCTGTTATTTTCTCTCCTATCACTCTATACCCATTTGGTGAAATTGTAACAGAAAACTACAATTGTTTATCCTAAATAGCTTAAAGCTCGTAACAGTATACAACTGTTTACTTAATTTTATTGCCTTTTGACCCATGTCTAACTAATGATCTCACTACACAAGTTGTAAATCACTTGGTGAATGTGTAGCTCACATTACCATATCAATTAATGTAACACTCAAGCTGCTGGCTGGCATACCTCATGAAGAATTTTTGTTTTGTTTTCATTACCTACTCTAACCTAACAAGTTTTTAATTTTTATGTTCTGGTTACTTTTATAATAATATTATTATATAATACACATTCAAATATAGTATTTACCTAGGCTCTCTTATTTCTTTGCTGTCAACTACTGATGAAATTTAAGCCTACTTTTTTATACTAATGGTACTGTTACACTAAATAATTTTTATCTGATTAAATAATGCACCTAAGAAAACAGCATAACAATATACATAAAACAAACAATGTCCTATAACTGTTGTAATATACCTGGCTTTCTAAGTATGCAGTAAGAACCTATAAAAATTCAGCTAAGCTTATTGATGTGAATATTGTGAGAAAAAGTTTCAAACTGAAAGCAAAATACACAGCGCTCTGCACAGAAAACAACATAATACATAATATGGCATTTGATAGATTAAAACTCTGGCTTTCTATTGGTTATAAATAATATAATATAAAATGTCAGAGAAAACTATTAGCAATTTGTAAAATAGAGGATGTGACAAGTGTGCATGGCAAGTGGATCTGATTTTGTAGTTCATGGCTCTGTAAACAAATAAGATTGAAGAGTATAAAAATTATACTTGACTTAACTAGTAATTTATATTAAATTCCATACTTCTCAGAGGGGTGGCAAATAATAAGTTATAGTAGAAGAAAAACAAATGTAACAACTCCCACACCAGGGAAGATTGAGGGGTTTTCAAAATATTCCCTTAGAAAATTAAGAACTTTAAAATTCATATTAAAATTTTAATCATTAACTATGCTTTGATGCCAAGTTTATTTGTATACAATGATAACAAAACAGTTTAAATAAATTTTGAATGTAACTCTGTAAAAGATCATGACATTCACTTTGATCTACTTTTAGCACAAGGTTTAAAATATCAGAAATTATTATAGATACACATTAAATTAACAATTTTTGAAACAATTAATTTATATAAAAAGGTTTCATTTTCAAATGCAGAAGAAAATAGCCAAACTCAAGGTTGTATATTCTTGTTTACAGTTGAAGATATTTTTCTTTCAATTGTTAGTTATTATAATCTCAAGTGAGATATCATACAGCTTGAATATTGCATATATGTTCTCTAAAAATATCTAATTATTTTGTCTAATTAAAGAATCATAACAGTTTTAAATCTACAGTTACCTCAGTATCATTAGGAACTTCGTACTTTTCTTCTTTTATTTTACAATCAGAGATAGTAAATGAAGATCCTTCTGGGGAAGCAGCTTCTCTTGTCACTGGAAGTGTAAAATAAATATCTTTATAACACTTGAACATGACTTCTGGGTAACTCTATATAATAAAAAATCCTCACTGTAAAATGATATTTTATTTACCAATCTGCCTCTCCTTAACCCATAAATACCAGTGTTTAATTATAATAAAGAAGACTGAGAAATCATTTAGAATAATCTTGGAATATTTTCCCTTCTAGTGCTGTTTTTTATGTATAATTTGTTCATAAATTAATTATTCTAATAATATTAATTTATACTATTTACAATGTGTAGCACAGAGTGTACCATAAATTATTGGGCACATTTTAAAATTTAAATAGAATAGGAATAACACCAGATAAATAACATGTAAGAAGTTTTTACCACTAGTTTAAATGGGGTATTTGTGAAAAACATTGTCTATAAGATGAAGGTACCAGATGTGACAATATTACTGATCCATATAACTGATCTAATTCTGATGTTTATTTTAGAAATTTTGAAACAAATGTAGGCAGGGATCAATGATCACCTGGCCATCTTTTGATCCATAACAAGTGTGTTAATGGCTACAGACTAACCTGGTAGCTTCTATTAAACCACAAATAAAAGATTGAACCTTAAAAGAGTTCTCGTAACAGAACCGTATAAAAATTATAGGAAGCTTGGTTTCAAAGCAAGTCAAAAAAGGCTTCAATAACAAGAATTTGGCAGCCCCACAATTAAATGTTGTGGTCCCAAAACAGAATTTTTTTACCTAGAGGGAGAAGACATCCTAAGAACAGTAAAAAAAAAGTATGAATAAATCATGACAAGACATCACAGAAGATGGTTGCAGTAACACCGAACTGTCATCATTTCAAGGACATTGATATGCAAAGATAACTCCTTTGGAGACCAAAGACAGGAAATGGTAAAGAACTACATCTCAGCCAAACAAAGAATAATCTGTAATCAGACGTAACTACATCTTTGTTATCTAATGGCCTTGACAAAGAAACATTTTTATGTTAGCCATTTTGAAATTACATGTGACCAGGAAGAGGATGAATTATGACCGGTCAGTGATAGGTCTTCAATTATCCATTTTCTTTGGAACTACAAAAAGTTGGGAGAAAAAAAATGAAGAAGCATGGAAAACTTGTTATACTTCTCCTTCTGAGAATGACATCTGTGACTTCTTGAAATAGAAGTTGTCATAAAACAGGACTAGAAGAAAGAGGATAAAACCAGGACTTTGATGACAAAAGGGGAAGAAGATCCAATTAAAGGATGTGTCAAACCCATAAACTTCTAGGTCAAGGTCCCACAGATAAGCAAATGATCTTAAACAATCACCCAAAAATTAAAACATAGGAGTCCTCTAGAAAAGAAGATTCAAAGAGTTGGTTAAACAGACCCACCTTGCCTACTACAATGTTAAACTATTCAAAACGACCAAAAGACCCAAGTAGATGTAGTAAGAATCAACCAAGAAGTAGATGAGGAAGATAAGGCAGGAGACCAAACTTTACTTGCTGAGTCTTAAAAAGGGACTAGACCAGAAGCAAAACAAGATGCAAACCTGGTAAGTGAAACACCTACAAAAACAAAATGATGTAGGCAAGATGCTATTCTGGGTTTGTTGAAATTTTATGGGAAATGGGAGAACAAATAAATTTCAACAACCCATGACGGGCTAAAGTTTCAAAAGAACATAAGAACCAAATGATAAGAGGAACATAATCAGTGAGACCTGCAGTTAATTAATACTGCAAACTGGATATTTGATCCCGACTAAAAGAATCAGAAGAACAAGAATAGCTAATAGCTGATTATATTGTACAAGATAACCAATACTAAAAGTTAAACATTGCACAGAAAGCAGTAAACTAACAATGGAACAAATAAGAAGACCACATGTAAACGATTTGATAATCAAGAGCTTCAGAAGTAATATTGGTAGTGGAATAAAAGTTACCTAATTATTTTGCAAATTTCTAACAGAATAAGCTACTAAACAAACATCAAGAAATAGTGAAGGAAATATGGATTAACGTAGAGGACTGTCTGACATGACACTAGCACACTAACAGAAACTGATTCAAGATTTAAAACACAATAAAACCAAGAGAAATAACAAGAGGAAAAGTTTCTACAGTTCACAAAGCTCTCATTGCAGATAATGAAACTAAAAATGGCCTGAGTAAAAGTTGAAATTTTTCAAATCAAGTGAAAAAAATGGTGGATATTCCACAAGTTGAGCCTCGAACCAATCATGAAATGTGCCAGGTATACCGGCACTAACAGCCTGAAACATTCATCAATAAGGGACG